CAGAGCTTTGGATAGATGACAAGTAAGCAACACATCATTCAAAGGGTATTTTGAGTCACAGCATATTGCCCAATGGATGGGCATGGCTTTGTTCTTGATGTATGCATTGGAAATTTAATAACCCTGTATTATTTTTTTGTGTTTCTAAAGCAGCTCATATTTCCAAGAGCTCTCATGTTGCTGGCGGTTTTCTCTTTACAAGTCAACACTTGACTCATTTGGCAGTTTGACCATTGAATTACATCATTTCATGTTAAAAACTACTAAATGTCCTTTTAAGACACTCCTCTGTGTATCATTTAAAAATTGATTCCAGACTTTTACTTTTGCAGTGACATCATAATTTAGAAATTTGATCTTTGCAGATATTTCATTATGAGATTAAAAGACACTTGGAGAGTGTCTTCATGACTTTAAATTGAGCCATTTATATATATATATATATATATATATATATATATATATATATATATATATATATACACATATGATAGAGTGAGATAAAGATAGATATATTATTTTTTTTTGTTTAAAACATGCAGTGTATATGATAGGTCATTATCTAAAAGCTTTTTTCAGTGTTTTTCGTAACATAAAATAATTCTTGACCGGAATAATCTCCGTTTCCAAGGTGAGAACTTATTCAAATGACCCAAATGACAAATAACACATTTAATGGACATTATAATTTGAATTTCACATTTATTATTTTATTGACACTTGAATAATGTTTATTTAGTACACTGGGTGATCAAAGATCAAACTAGAAAGTAAACCCAGGCTCAAGTCTTAATTTTTGTTGCTACATATTTAGTTTAATGAATAAAAATAAAAATGTAATTAAATAAAAAAAAAAATAATAATTCAACTAAAATTATGCTTTATCACAAAATGTGTGTTTCTTTTGTACCTGTACTTTTATTAAACATTACTATTTAAATTTAAAATGCTAATTTATCAGAAATGCTATTTCTAATTTTACTTGTGTGTGTATGTATGTATATTTGTATGTATTTTTGTGTGTATATATGTATATTATATCCAGCATTTTCTTACGGGTACTAATGGGTATAACTCCCTTAATAATGCAATGTTATCTTCACAAATTAGATTTGGATATACTTTATCAGTTTATATCTAGTGTTTTGGAAAAGTATATCTATAAAAAGGTAAACAGGCTATTTTTGTATAATTTTACTTAACCTTGATTTAATATTAAGACAAGCAGATTGTAGCAAACTGTGATATAGCAACCATTAAAAGCTAATGCTTAAGAGTCAGAGAGGGATGAAGTGAGTGAGAAACCCTCAGCAGCACTTAAAATATTGACCCTTACATTGCCAAGCCTGATCAAGAAGCAGATTTGCTTGTGTTGGCTAGGTTTTACTTACTGTTTTTCTATTTGTTCTTTACATTTCTTTTAAGCTATGCTTTTACCAGCAGCAATTTCAAAGAATTTAGTTTTTTTGTAACTCTCAGGACTAATGACAGAGATGATATTGACCAAATTGAACCCTAAAGATCTGCATGCACATGATTGATTACATTCATTTACTCAATTTCCTCCATAGATTTGCTGAAGTCTGCTTACCCTCTGGAATTGGAAAGTTAGTCCCATGGCTTTGAGTTGTGCTTGGTATCGACTCCACAGCAAAATTCTGATCAATCAAGACGGTGGTAGAGAATATTCCAGGTTGTACAGCATTCATTGTTGTCCTCTCAGAAGAGCCCAAGTCGAAATGGCTCTGGGTAGTCTGGATTTCCTGTGTTGTGCTCTCCACGTCTAAATTAGGATTCCTCCTAACGGTGGAAGAAAAGAGTCCTGGACCTTGTTTAGCATTTACTGTACTGGTCTCGGAGAAGTCCAAGTCTAAATGGCGTTGTGTGTAGTATATGCCTGGTGTTTTCTCATCCTTTTCCAAGTTATGATCAATCCTTGATATGGTAGGCAATACTCTTGGCTGTTGTTGGGAACTCTGGATAATGTTATCAGAAAATTCCAATTCTAAAAGGCCTTTTGTTGGATACATTTCTGATGTTGTGTCCTGAACTACTAAGTTATGATCAGTCCTGAGAGCAGCAGGGAATACTTCTGACATTTGTCCAGCAGTCACCATACTGGTGCCTGAGAAATCCATTTCTAAAGAGTTTTGAGTGGGGTGAATTTCTGTTGTGACTTCTGCCACAGCCGGATCCATCCTTGGCATGGAAGAAAAGACCACTGGCTGCTGCTCAGTATTGACCAGACTCCTCTCAGAAATGCCTATGTTTGAGTGACCCTTTGTGGGGTAAATTTCAGATGTTCCTTCTAATGAGTATACGGCGACACTAACAGCTAAATCTTCTTTTTTTGCAACAACATTCATTCTTGAAATGGTGGGAAGTGTAATATGCCCCTGAGGGTGTGTGCTGGTCTGAGCAGTCTCCACTAGTCCGGGGTTGGGTGTTGTTGTTTGGACTGTGTTCCACGTCAGGGCTGTAGGAACTGTAGTTTCTGGAGGGACTGTTGAAGGAATGCTTTTTGTAAAGTAAACTTCCTGATCTACTTTTACGTCATCTGAAAGTGGATTTTCGGGGTCATCTTTACTAGGATTTCCAATTGTGGTATATCTCCATGATGTAAGATTATGTGTTTTGTTCTGTACTGAAGGGTTAGTTCTGTGTGGACTCTTGGTGAACAATGTGTTTATGATAAAACTGCTGGTGGGAGAAACAATAGCTTCACTTATTCTCTGAGCTGTGCCTCTGTGTGGCAAATCTGATGTCCTAGTGGGAAGTGGTTCAGTTCTTATCTCTGTCACACTCATAAAGAGGCTTTGAGTCAATGTTGTGATTTCTTGGGATTGCTCAAAATTGCTCTCTTCTCCCGATGCAGCTTGGTCTTGAAAAGGACTTGTTAGTTCCCTCATCCCTTTGGCAGTTGTTGTTGAGACAGCATCTTCATTTATGCCATTTGAGCTTCCGAAAAGGCCAAATGAGGGTAGGGATGGGAGCTTGGGTAGGGATGGGAGCTTGGGTATGGATGGGAGCTTGGGTATGGATGGAAACCACGAGTAAATGCCAGATTTCTCCTCTCCAGTGGCCTCTTCATCAGCCAGAGCTCGATTGTGAAGTAACAAATAATACCAAAAGAAGAGAGCCAAGGTCTGAGGAAATCGAAGCATCCTGTCGACTGTGGAGCACTGATTGTCACATGTTGTTCTCTATTCTTCTGACCCCTGAGGCAGATAGGGCTGGCTTCTACCAATGGCCTAGAAGACAAGAACACACAGGACACTTGGTGACACACTTTTCTTCTGCTGCATTTGGGTTGGCTTGAGCTGAAAGAGGCAACTGTTCATCTATCTTTTCAATGAACATACTTACAAAGGAGCTTTACTTAGTAACCTACTTAAGAAAAAAAACAAGTGTAGAAATAATACAATTTATTACAACCACAAGATGAAGAGGGTAGTTAGATAATTTTTTAACAAAAAGATTCACTGATGTTGCAAGTTTGTTTTTATTTTGGCCTATAAGCATATATTTTATTCATAAGATTATTCAAAGTTCTTTGCAAATAAAATAACAAAAGTAAAGGCATATTCTAAGCATGGCTAATTTTAAAGTAAGTAGTGATTAATATAAACCAATTAAACAATCCTTCAAGCTTAAAGAATTGTTGGAGGAAATAATGTTGTGAATTGAAAGGAACAAATTACAAATCAAGACCCGTCAGTTCTTCAGCGACCATGGTATTGTAAAGTCAATCACTGCCTGAGATCTAAGGACTGACATGAAATTACTGAATTTTCCGGTGTTGATCAGGACTCTGGCAGTGGCATTGTGGATTGCTTATACCCAAATTGATTTTCTTAGATTTATTTTCTCTGATATCTTAGATATAGCCATTTTACAATAATGTTACTTGTTGAAATTCAAATAATGCAGTGGTTTTATGTCTTGGTTTACCAGGAAACACTCTATTCAACAATGTTAGGACAGTTGTGAGCAGACTTTAATAGGCTTTAGATGGTTTTTATTCAAAATTCAAGGTCTGGCTTTTTAAAGATGCTTGATTTTCATTCCTTTTTTTAGTCTCTATGGGATTAACTAAGGGTGGGAAAAATAAAGCAACATTTTAAAATTAAATACAAGGATTTCAGTATAAGTAGTGTATAATACAAGCAGTCTTTGCATTGTAAAGCTGGTGAAAGTTTAGAACCATACACTCCTTCATATTAAGGTAACTGTAAGTTAAAGTGGCTACTTACTGATAGCTATATAAAGTTGTGTTTTAAAAAAAGATGTTATAATATTCCATAATCTCAGCCACAGGCAATATATATATTTACTGGAGAAAAAAAAAAGGTACATAGAATGTAGCCTGGAGGAACCTCACATGTGGTCTTCTTAGGCCAAGACTTATATTAAACAAGTAACAGTAAGTAGTAAGAGTTCAAGTAATTTAGCACAGTCCCAGAAAAATCACAACCAGTTTTCTGTAATCTGTCCAATTATATGTTGTGATTAGCAATTTCATTCAGTTTTATACAAGGATTGAACTTTATATCTTCATATGTTTCCAAGAAGCAGTCATCTAGATTTTTTTCTGTGAGTTTGGCTGGGAGGAGGGCAGTGAATAATTGGAGTCCGGCTTTCAGTTTAGGAATCGGGGGACCTCCTATTCTTTTGTAAAGTGTTAGATGGTTCAAAGTCACCAGCCTGTTGCCTCAGTGAAAAGATTGGAGCACCAAAGGAATTTCCCCTTTGAAAACAACAACCTGTGTGCTTCAGCAGTACTTAACTTCCTCTGATGAACATCCCCAGGCTTTGGCCTTGTTGTCTTTAAATCTCAGATTTATTTGTACTTTCAAGCAGACAAAGATATGTGGGAGTAAAAAAAACATCAATATTCACAGAAACTTGCTAGTATACTGAAGCTCTCCCTTTTTTTTTCTTTAATTCTCCCACTCCATTTTCTAAATCCTTTAGGTTCCAGCAACCTTGACACTTTTTGGTTTACAGCAATTTTTTTCCTCATTTATTTCTTGTTTTCCAACTGTCTTAATTGTATATTTATTATTTCAGCCACAACTTATAAAAGTCTAAGTGGTCAGAAGTGTCCATGTTTAACCAGTCATTCCCTCTTCTGTATATAGACCCTGATATGAAGCACACACACTCTTAAAAGTCTAAGGTTTGGCTAACAAAGGGTTAAACATAGAGCCTCCTACACACACTATTTTTGTCACATTGATTGTGCAGCATTAAAACCAGTTTCCATAGGGGCAATGCTTATTTTTGGTAGCACTCCATTCAAGCTTGCAGTGAAGAACCTGCATAGAATATATCTGTAGTCATATCTCTGCATGTCTGAACTCTGACTTTTTTTTCTCAATGTTAACACACCATGTACTTCTTTGCCCACATGTAGTGTTATGTAGAAGTTGCAAACACCCACACATGCTCTTCCTTCTGGTGTCTTGGAGAGATTTTGCAAACAGTTTCTATTGGAAATATGCATGACAACAAAAAGTAATAGAGTATTAAAATAAATTCTGTTTTATCCGTAGGTTCTCTGTTTTGTTTTGACCCTAATAATATTCATTATTAAAACAGCAGAGGCTATGTATAATTTAGCTAGACTAACGTACTCACATTTCACTGCAGTATCACTTTCCTTCATCATCTAAAGGCAAAGAAAGAATGGACAGTAGAAAAATATAATTGCTTCACAACTGAGATTAAGTTTTATTTAATTACAGTGTGTTGGGTAAGTGGTGTTTCCAGTTTAGCTTTGAGATTACTTTATATTTCAACATCCTCGTGAAAATTGAGACAACAAAAAGCAAAACTAGTTTATTTTTTGAAGCAATAAACTGTTACTGTTTTCTTTTATAAACTGTACAGCGCTATTTCAACAGATTAAACAGGTCCTAATCATTTGTTTTAGAAATACAAGATGCAAAAGACCAATTTCATCACCATCCCATCCGCTTAGGTGTGATTATTAGTGTTTTTGTTCTTATTGTCTTGTAAAGTTTTTTTTTTTTTTTCACATTCATAACTCATAGTAACTCTGGATGAGTATTTGATACTAAAGCTTAAAGTTGTCTCAGAAAAAGGAGCAGAAGCACTTATTCAATTAACATACATATATTTTACTTTGTTAGTTTACCTAAGCTGATATCCTTAGCACCAACCCTTTTACCATAGTGAGATGTTCATCTTCCTGCATACATGTACCTGATCTTTTGCTGTTGATGTATCATTCTTCTGAATTACTCTACATAGCGCATTTCCTCATAGCTTTAATTTTAGGAGCATTTTGCCAATTGTTTACTTTGGGCCTTGTGTATTCCTTAGTTTTGACAATCCAGGTTTATGTTTTGTCATATCCACATTGAATTTATTTGTAGTTGTTGCATTTATGGTAAATAAAAGTACACAATTATTAAATATATGCCAGATTCCAAAGATGTCCACATATATTGTAGAGGAGTGTATAGTGGCTTAATTTTTACTTAAACACAAAGCCTTTAAAAAGTTTTGTGGAGTCAAATAATTTAGTAAAGAAAGTAATTATTCATGCACACACTTGTTTGAAGGTGAAAGGTATTTTAACACTTTATTTTGATATAATAAATGTTGTACATCAACAGCCTATCAGTCACAGTTCCTTTGTGGCTGATAGGCTGTTTACCTGGGTGAATTGTCCTATATTTAAGTTTTTTTTATAAAAAAATATAAGAGAGTGCAAGAATATGAAATAAAAGCTCTGCTTAAAAAGACAAAAAATACATTTTTCTGATCTCTTTCTTGTTGAAGGATTGGTTACGTGAAATCCCTCAACAAGAAAACCATCATTCTGATCGTTTCCAAAGCCTTCATAGACAAGATGGGATTAATTTGTCCTCAAACTCCTCCTTGGTCTGCTCTAGGTTCTCCTTCCAATAACAACAAAGACAGGCCAATAACACCTCCAATGGAAGATACCCTTGGAGCTTCTTGGTGGTTAACTGCTTTCTCTGGCTCATTTACAAGTTTCATTCAGATTATTGAGCTTCTCGCCTTCTCTTAGACTAAGCTCTGCCTTCCTATGGAGATAAGCTACTTTCAGTCACTTATATCCAGGATCTCCTTCTTTTAGTCATGATCTGTATCTCATTACCAGGTGTCAGTCTAAAATTAGACGGACTGGTGAAACCAAAGCTTTACTCATGGCTTTGCTGTTTCTTTCCCACAGCTGACTGAAGCATCTTTCTACATATATTCCTTTCCGACCCACCATCCCCCATGAACAAGACACCATGACACCTGAAATGCTTTACACTCAGCTGTTTACTCCTATTTAACCAGAGACTGACTCCCAATCTGTAAGGTGCAATCTACCTTTTTCTGGTTGAAAACAAGATTCACACTTTGAGTAACTGACTCTTTCCTGTAGCAGACTCTGCTTCGATCCATTCCATTGCATGGGGAAAGTAGTGGCTTAAATATACTGAAAACAACATCTGCAATAATCGAGGCTGAGACAATGACATTGTCAATGACAATGACAAGAAGCAGCACTGGCAGGGTCCTGCTTACACTGGTATCAATCATTTTCTTTTAGATATGATATACATTTATGTTTGGTTATAGAAGGACTGAATATACCAGAGAAGCATGGATGCTGTGCTAAAGTATAGCAGTGTGCCTATAAACTGCTCCTAAACTTTACAAGAAATCAAATGAATGGTCATGCAAGAATTAATTACACTTTAACTAAGCCACAACGATAATGGTTTTGGGTAAACGAAGAATTGCAGTGTAACCTAATGATAATAAACTGCGGTATTAGCTGTCAAAAAACGATCACATAGATGCTTCATCGATAATTTCATGAGTAGTGAAAAAGCAAGTCAATTTAGCTTCCATATTAGCTACTTTCTAACCGCTTTTTCTTTTTTTTTTCAGTAATCACTCACCAGATCTGACTCATGGCTTGTTAAGTCACAGGCTGACAGGCAGCAGAGTTAATTAAGAAAAAATATAATAAGTGTCAGGAAATTAACAGCTGCTTTCTGTTATTTTGTAATCATTTTTGAGATATCGCCTTAGATGGAAAGCTGGATCTCATACTGTGCAGCATCCAGTGAAGCAGAGGTGCACAGAACAAACAATTAGGGGCAGCAGGGGAGAAGCAAAAGCCCAAATCCACCATGTTATCATTCTACTGTGGCCTTATCAGTGCAGGAGAGAAACTCTGCAGCTGTCTCCGTCATGCTTATATTTCCAAAATGTCTTTGTGTGTTTACAAGAAGCCCTCACTTGATTCACTTTCTGGGCACAAGCAGCCATCTTGATCTCAATCTCCCTTCAACAAACTGTAGCCTACCTCTCCATGGAAATTTCCTTTTGTTCTGATGCGACATTAGGTTTGACCTCTGCAAGCTTTTCTTGGATTACACTATTGTTGTTGAACATATTTAAAAGGGTAAAAAAATATATTAAAGAATTTGGTTAAAAATGTTTTAGAACATGAGGAGAAATGGAGAAACGTTGTTTAAATTAGAGCTGTTTTTCTTTGCTGATTTGCTAAAAGGATACAGTCAACATTGAGGAGAGCCACAAATTGAGATAAACCGACAGTTGCCAATGTCATTACTTTTTAATAACCTGCAATAAGCATAGTCTGGTCTCAGTTTCAGTTCAGTTTGTCATAATGGAGTTTTTCACCTTCCTGCAAATGGCTACATGCTGTGGGTGATAGTTGTCCTTTTTTCCCTGCTTGTGTGGGTGTGCATATTTACAAGCAGGACTTTTCCCTCTAGTATTATTTCCACTGCTATATGTAAGTGCTCTTGCATGTGACCACATGTGTTTTTTCTCTCATGGTCTTCTATATTCTTAAGGAAAGCTCTTTAACTTCGTCTTTCATATGTTGGCCTTTTCCAGACGCCACCTTTGCAATTGTTTGATGTCGATGCCTCTTTAACCAACAGGGAGGTATTTTAGGTTCAGTGGTATAACGGAAGAGTTTTATTTGAGTGTTAAATAATTGTTTGTGACATAAATGGTTTAAAAAGCCTTTAAGTAAAATATACAACCCGAACATTTTCTGAATTACTTTACCCAACTTATCTTGAAAAATACATATATGACCTTGCACTACTTGATTGTAAACTTGTTGGTTAAGGTTACTGTAAACAGAACAACACAATGCCCTATTCATTACTCAGACATTTCCATAAGCATTGATTAGATGTGACACCACATATAAGCTGTGTAGTTTAGAATGAACCATTTTGCTTCCCACTGAGTAAAGCATTCGTTTAGAAGAACATTTAGATGTACTTAGCCACCATTTACAAAAGGTTAGTTTTTATCCTGCAGATTTGTACAATTCATTCTCTTTCCAGCCAAGTGACCAGCAAAGTTCTTGTATGAGAAATTTCCAGCTCGTACGAATAGACATTCACACACCAGCTTTCTACATCACACAAAAAAAGCTTAATAATTTTCTACTTTTGTTGGCATGGCAGCATAGACAATCATGGCAGGGGTTTTATTGACAAGCCAGTTAGACAAGACTTTGCTGCAAACTTCTGGCCACAACCCCTTTATATGGAGGAAAATATAATTTCAGCTGTGTCAAACTTTCCTATATCATATGATTTCAATCATTCCAATAAAATCTGAATCCTCATTCTTGTTCATTTTAAACAGCCCTGCTTAAAAATATAAAAATCTCTTATTTCATAATGATTTGTAATCCCATTTTATTCCAAAGTATTGCCATTATGTCCCTTCCTACCAGCGTATTGTACCCAAGTATGTAGACCCTTGTGCATTACTCCATTGTTCTTTTATTATTAGTCTTAGTTCAGTATGTTCTACAGATTAAATTGTATCTGTAATTAATTAATTTATGTTTTTTGAGCCCAGATCGAACAAAACATTATGTTGAGCAACCTGGTAGATATTGTTTATTAAGGTTTCATTCCTGCGAATGTCAACATATGGGAACAATGCTGAGGTAGAATCTCCAGAAAAACTATCTTGAAGGGGCTGTATGTTTATTTCATGTATAGGGCAACTTTGAGTGACAAAGGATGGCCCAATTAAGACATGTTCCTTAATATCAACTGATTTTGTTAACACCCATTTATGACCCGGATAAGCTCTACAATGAAACTACACTATTCTAGCAAATATCTCCTGTAGCCTGGTTAAAAAGCTTCTTATATAGGATGTTGGCTGTAGGCAAATTGTAACCTACCTAATCTATAGCACGAGCAAAATCCTTAAGGGGCCCTGCACATGTTGGCTGGCAGAATACCTACATTTTCTTTCAGTAGACATTCAGTAGATTGCTTTTAGCCTTTAGTTGTATAACTGGATACAAAATAACACACTTAATGCACACTATAACTGTTGGTTAAAACCTATCAAATGATAATTGTCAGTTTTTATATTTTAAGCACAACCACAAAAGCTCATAATGTCTTAACATAGTAGATAACTCACTTTGAGATTATATTCAGTACAAATACAGATAATCTGGTCATGAGGCTGAAGCTAGGGTCTTAAACCAAAAGTGAAATCCATGTTAAAACAACTTGATTAAAACAAATGCCTTCATGGTTTCTTGAAACAGAATTTGACCACACATTGACCTACAACAAATGCACTGGTCAGCTATTCAAACAGAATCTGACTCTTATTACCACAGGAAGAGGCAGAAAGAGAAGCTTTAGCACCTGCTAAACTGGATTCAGGCTAAATGAAGATTGGCAGGCTAATACCCCTTTTTAACTAGCCTTTTCAGACCATGCCAAGAACAGTCCCAGGACAGTAACTGAGATAGGGAAAATGGAACCCAACTGAACTGGACCGTGCCAGACAAAACCAAAAATTTTGTAGTAGTTCAACCTTAGGGCTCGGCACGGTTCAGTTGTATCTCGGATGACAAAGAGCACATGAGCAGACCTCGTCATCTCCTTTTTACAGTCAGCTGACTGATTTTGCAGGTTGTCCGGCGTGTCCGTCCGTGCAATTCACAGATCTCTTCACCTGTTCAAAACACAGACTTCTTCTCAGCTTATTAACAATAAATGGCAGCAAAATGTTTGGTCCAAATTGGTGTGATGCCGAGACTGAGAGGGATGCATTCTTTGTCTGACATTCCGCAAATGACAAAATATCATAAACATAATTTCCTGAATGTTATGGTGCCGCCATGTTTGTTCGTGTGATTTCCGCCTTGAGAGCTGTAGTATCATGGACTGCTGATAGGAGGCCAGAAACAGTGCTAGCGTGATGTGTTAATGGTCGTAAGAATCAAGCTTGGCCAGGTTAACTGATCGTAACATTCAGATGGGTAGTGTAAATGGGGCATAACTATCTACAGCAGGTAACATTTTAAAAGATTTTTGCCTTATCAGGACTAAGGAATTCTTGCGGCATTCTTATAATGTTGAACTAACTTAATAAAAAAAAAGTTTGCATAATGGAAAGCATGATATTATGTTTTTTGAGTGCAGATATTGCACTGGCTCTGTTAATAGAATATGTCTTACCTAGTTACGCTGGTAACTTTAGCAAAAAAAAAAAAAAACGTCCATTTCACAATAACATTGATAATGATAATAGTAATACTATTGAAAGTACTAATATTAAGAATAAGTATTATTAGTAGTTTTATTATTGTTATATTAATAACTTTGATAAATTGCAATAATACAGTTGCAATTCCCATGTTTACAACATCTAAAAGTCAGTAAACTGGAACATTTAAGAATAAAACCAAATTGAATAGAATTCAACTTTGTCATTACACTACCAGAAGTATAAGGCAACAAAATGTAGTTTGCATCTATCCACAGGTGCTATACAGGATATAAATATTTATTTATGTGCACAGATACTATGTATGTATGAACTATAAATTGTTTTGTAATCTATTTAAAATTTTCAGTGCAACTGTGCAAAGAATCTAATATGTAGCCTTCAGCTGACTAATCCAGTCTTGATCAAGCTCTAGTTATAATCATTTTCAACAATCTTCCACATCAGAGGGCCGATAATCAACTCATGAGCTGCAGCAGACCCACAGATTCAATTATGCAACCAGCTGCAGTCAATAGTCCCTGGACATTATTGATGCTAATGCAAGCGGCTGTTTGGTAAATAGTTGAAAAATAAGACACTGTTGTTTCTAAAAGGGCTGCTTTAAAGTTGGACTGCAGCAGGTGAGTTAACTCCACTAGCTTTACAACCAGACCACATCCTGACTCCCTCTATTTACAAACATGTTTAATTCCTTGCTTTTATAATCTTTGGCATGTGATTTTGTAGGTTCAGCACAAAAGCACCAACAGAGTGCCATTCAGAACTAGGTGTTTTGTATTTTATGCTGATTTAATATATAATCTATTGCAACACTTTGAAATGGAATATAAAATATAGCTTAACATTTTGTTTGGTTTGCTGCTTATTTTAATCAAAGCTCTGCTCAATGCACTGAACATGCTTACTTTGGAGGATGGTCTCTAGCACAGGCAATCTACTGGCTGCCTTTGCCATGGCGACAGCTCAAACCAGAGATGTTGCGCTAATCCCACAGATTTTAGATCCATTTGCCTTCCTCTTGTCCATTTAAAGAAGTGTAGGATATGCTTTCAAATTTAAATAGCCAATTTTTCATGTAAGTCATCTTAGAGACATTGGTTCCTGCTCCCCTGACATAAAAAAGGATGCTCATGCTTGTAAACATCCCCTGTATCCTTAACTAAAAACGGCATGAGCAGTTATGGATATATAAGTATGGATTTACATGCAAATGACAGATGTTACTATGATTTTATAGAAATGTCACTTTGTAAAATACACTCATAGACCTTGATCGATAGCTAACAGAAACACCTTACTCCTTCTAATTTAGATGTCAACACACTGATGAATGTCTTACATATTTGAGGAAATATGGTGAGTTTGAATATGCCAGACTATTTACCTGCAGTATCATTGCTGCTATGTTTTCTTCCTAAGTGTCATCATCTACAGGCTTTAGTATGAGTCAACTTCATGCATTCTATTTCTTTCCAAGCAAGCCTACAAAATCCATGGCTGGAAACAGTCATTTCAAAAGAAAATGTCAGCTGCTTACCTGCAGATGTACGTAGGAAGATGGAGAATCCACAGCCAGGAATGTAATAGAGAGAGAGAGTGTGTGTGCTGCAGGCGAGACAGTCTTGTGAGCCTCTGTGGGTTTGACTGTGTGGAATACTGTTCCCGTCTCCCTCCCTCCCACTTGCTCTCTCCTCTCTCTCTCTCATGCTCCCCCTGTTGGTCTATCTCTCTCGCTCACTGCATGGCTCCCATCATAATGCCTGCGGTCACACCTCACTGAGCAAATTGTTCATTATCAAAGATCACCCACCACCATGGACACCATAGCACACAGTTAGGACAACATTGGCTTTTGCAGGCAAGCTTTTCTGAAACTGGAATGCAAAGCCTACAAATTCATGCACCACTCACTGTCAGCCTCACAACTGCTGACCTTTGCAGGCTGCTGTTTATTTTTTTCTAAATGTATATCCAACAGCACATACTACTGATTTAGCACAATGTATGTGAGGAGCTGACTCATCAGAAATAAAAAAAAAGAATAGAAAAAAAAAGTTTATCTACATTGTTTTAAAGGCTTAAGCATTTGTGAATAGAAGAATAATAGGCCTCTTGCTTTCCAATTCAGAAACACACAATAAAAACCTTAAAGAATTTTTAGTAGGTATTTCTTATATTAACACATACACTTATTAAGTCTGTACAGCAGATTTTGAAATAAAATTGTATCCTTTTACCAACATCCAACACCCCCCAGTTTCAAATAAATGTGTAATGTCAAATATAACTCCAAGAACCTGTAGTTAAAAGCTACTTTCTTTATATTGTTTTCTGTACAGTTAATAGAAAACCATACTGACTTTTTTTAGAAACATTTTTCACTTAACCACAGTGCTAAACCTTCAGCATTGTGGTAATTAATAATAAAGGTCTGTCTGCATACATCACAATGTCATAATTAGAACACGCAGATTATAAATCATTAGATTGAATGACAGTGGTCCAAGGAGTGGTTCTTGTGGAACACATTAGACATCTCCATAAATTATGCCTTTTTTTCTTTTTATACATTTGGTTAAGAATATTAGTATTTAGCTTTTTTCTTTTTTATGCCAGAATATTATTCATTTGTTAATTTATTTAAATGTAAAATTTGATTATTTGATAAATAAAATATATTTATCAAGAAAGTACATAGCATGCAAGAAGCAGCTAAATTTAAACAGTTTGAGGCATTGTCTCTAATGACAATGTTACTCTGTAAACTCTTTAGCAAAATAGTCTTAACATCTGTGGGTAAATGGTACCCAGGAATTTCAAATATAGAAACAATCAGTGAAGTAAGGAAGCATAATTTCCTGAACAGTGCCAGAGCGCTCCCAGCAGTGCTGAAGCCCCCTTACAGACTTACTTGGCCCCACCAGCTCAGGGGAGATTGTACTGATAGCATGATTCACCTTGACTCTCCTTTCTGTTCTTATCCGCTTTGTTTTAGCAAGATTGTATTGAAAAATGATTTGCACCTTATGAACATATTTCATCAGATATATTAAACTGCTTTATCAAATAATTAAATCACATCATTCTGATGTCTGGGAGTAAGACAACCCATATATTGCTATAAGGGATTCTTTTCTTTTGTTGTTTTTATTTTAAGCAAAGCAGGTAACAAGCAAGCAAGACAGGATGCTAAACATTTTTTTAAACACCATTTGATAGATTTCAAGCTTCGCTTCACAGGGTTGGTGACACAGGTGGGGCTGAGTTTAAGACGGATATAAATAAGCTATAAACTGCACCAAAGGAAAGCTTCGATATAACAATGGTGCATCTATTTCAGTCTGCATTTTTATTTTTTAATATTATGAATAGTTGAAATGTTTAGCTTGCTATTTTTTTCTTTGGTTACAAGCATTTATATGAAAGAATATTTAAATTCAGTCATAGTACTGCATTCTCATGTACTTGTTATTTGATTTAGTTAAAACTTTTGACAACTTTTTATATATTAGTTTGTAAAATACTTTATTCACTAGTTGATGAAAAGAACTGCACTGAAAGCGGCTGTTAACACTGGCAGAGATGATAATCCAGTCCTTAGGTCCTTCCGTATTAAATTGGGAGGTTCTCACAATAGGATCTCTCATTGCATGATTTTTTTTAAATAAGTACTTCACCCTTTTTTACTCCAAACTGTCCTTAGATATGACTTTCTGTCTTCTTTGTTGTTTGCCATTTGTGTCTTTATTGGTATGAAATTAAGTGACAACTCAAGGTGCACCCGCCCTCTCACCCAGTTAAATGTTATCCCTATCACCGCCTTCTCATATGGCTAATAGCTCTGTTCTTCGATATTTTTCTTGTTGGCGTCTTTAGGACAGCAAGTATTCAGTGTGTTGTGTTTGTGTGACTGTCCTCTCTCCTTGAACAGGCCGCTGGCCTCAGCTGACGGAAAGTCCAGGACAATGGGTGACTGTGAGGTCAAAGAGAGTTTCTCTAAAAAAAAAAAAAATGGAGACAACAATGGGCACCAACAATAGCTTTTTGGCTCTGCCTTGTATAGAGACCCTGTCTTGAGTACAATTTGTTCCTTTTATAAATAAATTATAAAGATCAAATAATGTTTTAAGTTTGTGCTTACTGCACTAAAAATTATATTTTTGTGTATATATTGCTACAGAACGCTCTTCTGCTTCCAAAGCTAGATATCAATTAACAGTTTTTTCCACAATGAAAGGGACTTTTAAAAACTGTGTAAAAACTTGAAATAATTTTTTTAATAAGGTTTATTATGTCACTTCGCAATGTGAAGTCAGTTTTATTTGTAATCAAGTGATATTCAAATGCAACAAGCCTCTGCCTTTGAAGTGTTACACATTATCAACAAAAACTTCACGTCTTTTAATTGTGTTTGAAAGTAAACTGTAATTTATAAAAAATAAGAATTTATTTAAAACACCAAGGTTCAAGATAAAAGGTTGAGGAAATATAGAAATCAACAATAAATTATGAAAAGATGTTATCAACAGGCCTTTAGCTAGCAATGCAAACAGGTGTACTTTGTATGCCCTTTACTGAAAAAAATAGTACACCTTTGGGATGTACAAATTTTTTTTAATGCCCTACTTTTCCCCTGGAAATATTTGATTAAATGTACAATATTTCACAAACAGCAGATGCTGGAGTTGGAAATAGTTAACATCACCCAATCAGAGAAGCTGGTCTGCGAGCTGGCAGGGAGACAGCCAATGCTGCTGATGCAGATCACTATGATCACTCCATTGAAACTGTTTATTAATGCCTAAATTAACTTAAAGTGTCGAAACCTACCAACAAAATATGTTCGCTTTTATAATTCTGTTGCTTGCAGTTTGTACCACATACCTGCAAAAACGCTAACATTTATTCCAGCCGCTACGAACAGTAGCGGAAAACCCCCAAAAGGCGATCGGGCCTGAGGAAGCTGCTGCTGGGTTCCCAGAGCACCGCCGTATGTCGGAGTCTGCTCGCCTCTGAGAGCGAAATAAAGCCTACATATCCCTAACAAAAGTGCTCTGTTAAGGATATAAGGAACAATCAGGTCTCTGATATAACAGGAAGCCAATGAAGAGAAGCTAGGATAGGAGAAATATGATCTCTACTTTTAATTTTGATCAGAACTCTGGCTGCAGCATTTTGGATCAGCTGCAGTCTTTTAACTACAGTTTGTGGACTTCCTGATAGTATGTCTTCCTGGTTCTGCTGGAGGTTTCTTCCTGTTAAAAGGGAGATTTTCCTCTCCACTGTCGCTACAAGCATGCTTAGTGTGAGGGATTGTATTTGAGTCAGTGAGTCAATGCAATCAACTGGTTTTCCTTAGATAGAAAACTTTGAATCAATTTGACTGTATGATCTGGTTGAACTGTAAAATGCCTTGAGATGACTTGTATTGTGAATTGCCGCTATATAAATAAACTGAATTGAATTGAATTGAATTAAAGAATTACAATAGTCCAGTCTTGAAGTAACAAATGCATTGACTAGTTTCTCAGCATCAACATTGGACAGGATATTTAAGATTTTTGCAATATACCAGACCTAGAAAAGGAAATTCTAGTAACTGGTATGTGTTTGAAATGACATGTCTTGATAAAAAAAGAAACTGGTTACATTTTCTCTGCCAAATCTGCTGTTCACATTTCCTTTGACTAACCTCAAAAACATGCTTGTAACTGAAGTCTTTCAGTGATGCAGAGCTTTGCAACTTGTTATGATTTCACTGTTCTCATGAAACGTCTGGAGTTCACATGATACTAGGGGAAAGTAATAAAGGAAAAGTAGGAGAAAAAGCAGGAAGCTGCAGTGGAATTTCCACACCCTGATGTGGGTGGACCCCGTCTGCATTATAGAAAGGAGAGGGCAGTTTTCCCCCTCTCTTCCCCCTCTTGCTTCTATGCATTCACATCCCTCCCAACCTTCTTTTTCTGCTTGGATAATATAGGCCATGTTGAAACAATACGAAAAGGAAAGGCCATGGGGTGCTATGGCAGCAAACGGAGAAGTGGTCCTCACTGTTTCTTTTCTTTAGATGGTGAGTTTTGAGGGGGTTGGGTGTGTGTGTAGAAAATTGGCAGGGATGAGGGTTGAGGGCTATTTAAAAGAATGATGTAAGATGGGATTCAGAGGCATAAAGCAGAGGGAGGGGTTGCTGATGTAAAAGTAGTACAGAAACATGGCCTAGAAAAGGCAAGTGAATGTTTTCATGGGGTTGAGAAATCTTTCCGTCTGGCTGTGTCCGAATGTTGTCTAAATGAGCTTTGAAAAAACTTTTCCAGCTGGCCAAAAAAATATAGTTACCTGACAGTATTTAGTTTGCTCTTTACTCAAGCTTACATTTTAGATATATATGAATAATTCACAAGGATGAGAAGAAATATTAAATGCCGTTTTTAGATAATTATTTTGTGTTGAACTAATAGCCATACTTAAACCTAAAAAATATTTCAAACATATTTGTTGGCAAAAGCATGCATTTTTTTTTTTTTTCGGATACTGTTTTTATCCTGAAACTCTCCCCAGTCCAATGTTTACCCAGTATGCCTAATGTTTGATCATTTACCTTAGATATGTTTGTGATCAAGTGAATATTTAATTATCAAAATTGATGTGTAAGAAGAATGCAATTAATTATGTGAAATTTGTAAAACCAACTTGTTACTGAGAGAAATGGGTCAGAGCATCTCAAGAATTTCAAATGTATATAATTAAGTTGTCAAGCACAGGTTATGTCCAAAGGCGGGTTGTAAGGATAGAGGTTGGTTGCAATGGCTTGAAGCAATGACTCACTGCAATTAAATCGCTAAAGATGTTAAAGGTCTGATGTTATGCTTTTTCTTAAAGCCTTTCAAAGTCACTCATAGGTAAACATATATGTTTAAATAATGCCTTTAGAACTACATGAGTATTAACTTTTTGTGGAATGTAGTTGTTTTCTTACAATCCCACAGAAAAACGCTTTCCTTCAAAGCAAAGCAACTTAGCCATTAGCTAAAAAGAGAGGTTGCTGCCCTCTGCAGATTAGCTGCTGAAAGAGCTAGTTTGTCTTAACTTTGAGCCATAATTATCACACTCTGCCTCATATCACTTCTCTGTTGAAAAAGCATTTGCAATTGCATTTTAACAAGTTTAGATTCAAAATAATTGCTTACATTTGAATGATATTATTGTTGGAGGCTGGAGAAGTGCCTCTCTTCTCCAGCAGAGTCCGCTGTGGATCCTCCTGAGCAGAGCCCTCTGCACAGCTGCTGCTCGTTACCATCATCAGGAGGACCCTCTACTTAAGCTGTCTTCAGACCTTGCCTCAACGCCGCAGTGTTGAGCCAGTTGGTTAGCACCTAAGCCCTGAACCTCTGAGAACTTTGCTTGCTCTGAGATCCTGACAGGATCCTAATCTTGTCTCTGTTTTTCCAGGAAAACCTGATCCTCCTTCGTGAAGCTCTGGAAGAGCTTAACCCACCGAGCCTGCCCTCAGAGCCAAACCAGAGGACTTCCCCTGGATTCTCTCGCAGCTCTGGACCAAGAGCTGGAAATCCAAAGTCAAGATCTGCTACCTTTCTAGAAGCAAGACGCTGAAGCAGCTAACGGACTCAGCTAATCAGACTCTCTCCAGTTCCAACAACCTTCCTCTCCAAGATCCATTCAAGGACCCACAAGGTACAAACCAGAGACTATCTAAGGACAAACCGCTAAGAGCCCAGCTAACTAACTGTCTTCCTCACAGACTCCGGTGAACCCGTTTGCCCAGGACCTGAACCAGAACATACTATCGTTGGATATTATTCAATAAACTCTGTAAACTTTTCATCTGTTTCCTGCCTCGTGGTGTTCTGCATAATTGGGTCACATTCGTGTACCGATCATGACAATTATAATAATAAGCAGAAATACTAAATACAGTTCCATATAATGATTTTTTGTTAAACAGTAACAAACCTTAAACCGAGTAACAAGTTTAAACTTTTGGTTGCAAAACCCATAATCAAGCTTTTCAGATAAATACCAATGAGTATATTAGATAGCTGTTAATACTATTTAGCCTCTTTGCAAAATTGTTTAAATTCTGCCTTACTGAAGAGCTTAAAGCATGAACTTGTAGGTTTCCTTACTTCATCTCAATAATACAGTATCTACATCTGCAATTTAAGATCGCTACTCCGAAACCTTTTTTTTATTGTTTGTCCCTCAATCACTCAGATTGGACTTACTGAAGAACTATGGAGCGTTTGCCATGAGTCAATCAAAGTAACAATTTTTGCACAAGTTTCTTGAAGATTGCATTATAAAATAGTCGAAAGCTTAAAGAAGTTGATTTTACTTGACATAAGGCCTTAAAGGCTTATAGAAATGTATCATAATACACAGTACATTAAACTGTGAGACTTCATCTTCAGAGTCCAGATTGCTTAGTCATACCTGATGGTTGAGTAGGAAAGATTGAGCTGCCAAAAATAGAAAAATATTTCAGGAGGCTTAAATGGAAAAATCAGGGTCACTTAAAGGCTAACAAACCCACTAAATGAGCAAGATCTTAGTCCAATCCAACATCTTTGGGACTTTTTGGCTCCACCTCATAATTTGCAGGAACTTAATGAATGTTTTTCTGATATCTTGTTGCCAGATACCCAACACATCTTCAGAGCTCGAGTGGAGTTAACCCCATCCTGGGTGTGGGATGCTTTGACATATTAAAAGGGAGCAACCAAATATTAGGGTTGTTATTTCATTATGTTTGACTGTTTTATAAAATGGCTTACATAAAAGTTAGCTGTTTTATGTAATGATTTACATACTGTTTCTAGGATCAGTAGGCAGGAGGATATTTAACCTTTGACATATGTATGACATATCCTATAAACACATTTTATTATATTGATGTCATGCATTGCTTAACTAAAGTAAAGATTCTCACAATGTAAAGTTACATAATCTAACTGAATCCACCATTTACCACCCTGTTGACATTAAACATTGAAAATATGCAAAAGGAAAATATGACTATATTATCATAAATTGTTTTGGAAGTTTTCATTTTTGTTATGTTGCTTGTTCAAACTTTAATTTTTTAAGTGAAACATTTGATCTTTAAATAACCTAGAATGTAAGTATCTCATATTTTATCTGCCTAATGTTCTGTTTATAAAGACAAATAGGTTACATGGCTCCATCATGTGGCACTAAAGAGTATTGCAGGTAGATGTTTAGTAGGTCAGGATAAACTGTCCACAATATGACCTTATAATGTTTCTTTATTTAGCCCACTAAAGCGGTCAGCGTGACTTTGTTGTATGTACTTTGTGTGAGGATTTACACTATAATTTGAAAGCCTGAAAGACGCTTATTTTGCTGTTCGGTATTTGGTAGAAGTTTATTTGATCTAATATATATTTATTTTGCGTTACAGCCTGCTGTATGAAATATTTCAACGCGCACTTCTGTTTGATTCAGCTCTGGCGACGGGAGCGAGCACCGCGTAAAGCGCGCGCGCGCACGTATTTTTTTATGGGGGTTTATTTATCGGGGCGCGCGTTGAGTTGGCACGGGCGCGCGGTTGTCATTTAAATCCTCGGCTATCCGTTGCCACAGTGAGCTTGCACCGCAGCAGTTTTGAGCAAGGCATGCGAAGTAATTTTCCAGACCACCAAGCAGACAAGGACGCGTTTTCAGTCTCTCAGCATGGGAAACCTGGCGCTCTCCACCAGGTAACAAACCTGCTTTGATATATTCAGGAAAAAGGAGACAGGTTGCTAATAAATTATCCTAAAACCCGCTGGAATTATATAGAAATGCCTTCCAGTATCCTCTATCCTTAGATTTAGCCTCTATTATAAAGATATAAATGGAAATAATGCTTTCTTTCCTTTTTAGCGGTTAGTTATCTCTGGTTAAAGTATAGTAGGCCTGTATAAGTAGCCTCATTATAAATGGAAATCTGCTACCTCCATTTAATATGATTTGGATGTGTTTTAAATTAATGAATTTGGAGATATCACACCCTAATCTATAGCTCTAGGCCTTTACAGAAAGATGTCTTCTAGTCTTTGCAAAGGCTGCAGCAAACCCAGCGGTTTTGGATGCCTAAATGATCAGTTTGATAGGTGAACAGGTTTTTATCTGGCAGTTTTCTATGTTTATTTCAGCAAATGGCACAGAAAATGAACCTGCAAATATTCTCAAATCATATCAAAGTTTAATGAAAAAAGGTTTATGTTTATTGAAATATATGTGCTTTTTGTATCAGTGCATACAGAATTAACACAATGTGGGCAATTAGCCTTCTGTTGCACCACTTTATCTTTTAACACCACTTGGTTTCCTTACTTAACAACTCTTGCTTAATAACTCATTACACATTAGGCAATTGGATCTTACAGTGTTGTTCGCTGTAAGTTGTGATTTTTCCTTAAATAGATCCCTTCTACTTAGATAATAAAACCCAACTGGAAATTTGATGTTGAAAATGTGTTTGTTTCTTTTTTGTACAGATTTTAACAAATGCCAATTTTAGTGCTGTATTGTTTTTATTTTAGCCAAAGTAGGAATATTGCAGGTTTTAGAACTGAAGTTGTGCAACATTGCGATTAAAGGGATCTGGTTAATCCTTTATCTCAGTTCTCTTCTATTAAAATATGTTGACATTATTAAAAAAAAATCATTACCTTTATGGAAACAGATATCTAGTTTTATCTTAAGCTTTGTTACAAAACCCAATGTTTTCAGATGTCTAAACTTTATTTTTTTTATACAACAAGAATAATTGATCTATAAATCTGAATTATCTTTTTTTATGTAGTTTTTTCAGGACTGATGCAACCCCCTCGGACCCAGTCCACTCAGAGAGCTTTGTAGCCAGAAGAATTTGCAATGGTGTAATGTATTACTACACTCCAATGACTGCAGCTGAGAACCAGACGGTGTACGTTGCCAAAGACTCTCCGACCACAGCAGATCTGCACCCCATCTCATCTTCAGTGTCCTCAGAAACACTTTCCCACACAGCTATTTCCTCCCAGCAGCATTTAGGTGCTGCTTCCCATTCTCGCCCTCTTCTCCTCTTCTTCTCCTGGCTCGGTGCCCAACCTGGGGCCGTAGCCAAGTACAGGGACCTCTACCTCGACCGTGGTATGGATGTCCTCCTTGTCCAGAGCAGTGTTATGCACTTCCTGTGGCCTCAATGGGGGCTCAACTATGGGTTGGAGATTTTGAATATTTTAGAGGAGCCTCCTTTCACAGACAGGCTCATATTGGTTCATGCATCTTCCATTGGTGGCTTCACTTTCACCCAGCTGCTCACCCACATTACTCAGCAACCAAAGCAGCACGCTGGCCTGGCCCACAGAGTGATAGGACACATTTATGACAGTCTAGTAGTTGGCTCCCTGGATCACATGGCGACAGGTGAGTGAAACTGATGCATCACAATTGTATCAGAGCTCAGGTTACTATTGTGTTTTGTGCATCATAACTTTCTATAATTAATTAACTCCTGACCCAGTGCTCCAGTTTGTTAGAGGTGTAGGATCTCCTATTTATTTCCTGTTTTAGGACACTAGTTATGCAACCTTTTTTTGTCTAGTCCAGGAAAGGCTCCATTAGGTAAACACATCAGGTGTTTTTAATTTACAGTTCATAGTAGGCAGAAAACCGCTCAACAGTTTGTTTTAATTTTTAAGGCCACTTTATTACAAATTTAGCCTGATCAAATAAACAAAAGAAAATATAAAAGCAATGCAATTTACTGTGTATTTTTAAAGACCAAAAATAAATGAACATTCTGTAGATTATTCATAGCTCTCTTTCATCTCTGCAAATGTTATATTCTACATCCTCTGTATAAATATATGATTCATTACAAAGCATTAATATTTCTTTAACTGTTTAATACTCAACCACAAAACAACACATCCTTCAATGTAATTAATTTTAATTTTATGCTACAGTGTACATTTATCTGTTTTTCAGGACTTGGCAAGACTTTGTTGCCCCGTTTAGAGGGCTTCATCAAAACTACCGCCATGCTCTACTTCAGGCTGTTCAAGTCCCAGACTGCAGACATATACGAGAACGGTGTCCAGGTTTTCTACAACAGCCCTGTTACTTCCCCAGCACTCTTCTTCTTCTGTGAAAATGATGCAATGTGTAGCCCTGCTGTCCTGGAAAGACTGATGGACTTCTGGAGGCGAAGGGGAGTGTCTGTTGACAGCAGGAAGTGGAAAAAGTCCACACATGCCGCCCATCTGCGATGTCACCCAGAAGACTACCTTTCTACATTGCAGCACTTTTTAAACTCCCTGTCTGTTCCTTCTCTTCAATCTAACATTTGAACTGTCTGGAAAAAATTCACTTTTAACTATTTTCATTGTATTTACTCACCATAAACCCCTATTTAAAGCAGAACGCACTTTTATCAAGAACGACTTTTATGTTGTAGTTTGAGTTTGTTTGTTTTTTATTTGAAAAACCAACTTGTGAACATTTTCCTCAACTCTGACTTATTTTTGGGTTGTAATTAAGATTACATTTGAAGTATTTAGAAGCTTACTATAACACTTGTTTGCACAATAACTACTTTATCAGTAGCTGATTAATAATGGTGTTCTGCATAGTATTGCTCTGGTCATAAAGAGCATGAGTTATATTTGTGTATATAGTTATGGTTGATTTCCGACAAAAACAATATCTATTGTGCTTATTTAGCCTATTTTTTAACAATATAGGATATTTTTGTCGACACATTTTGCAATTTTAAACCTGAAAGTATTAATAGTGGTTGATCTGAGTTAGCAGAAGAGGTGGAGGAGGGTTAGCTGGAGGCTGGTGGTGTAACCAGTGAAAGGATACTGCAGGGTTTTGTTCCAGTTTACTGAAGTGAGTATATTGGGGCGGAGCCTTCATCAGCCAGTAATAAAATAGGTCAATGATGCAGTGACCAGATGCTGAGAGTATTGGTGCATTAGGGTGAATGCAGAGATTATTGTCTTTTGTTGAATGAAAAACATTTCATGAGCAGAGACATAAAATGAAGCCCTTATTTTGAATAAGGAAAAAGACAAAGAACATCTACAAAACCCAGTGTTGTGAAGTAATAATCTGTACAATATGCTGTTGTTCTTTGGTTTGATTCAAGCTTATGTTGAAGTGTTCAAAACTTGTTTTCCTGTTTCTAAGACCATAAGATCCTTAGGATCTTGGCACATTATGCTGATGGCTCAGTCAGCAATAGATATGTTGTAATTATTGTTAGTTTGAGCATTGCTGTTGTTTCTAGTGTCAGAAAATGTTGTCAAAAAGTTGAGATTATATAACGGTTCTTTTTGCTCTCTGAGGAAGCAGTGCAAGTCTCAGAGGCTCTCCTGTACAAAGGAGCATGACTGGCTAAAGTTTCAGTATCGTATTAATAATTAAAGGTCAGTTTTAGGGAACACGACAGAAGCTATAGTTACCTTTACTGGACACCAAACCACATGTTGCTTTAAAGTGAAAGGGTTTTTTTTTTCTTCAATTTAAAGTATTAGTCTTTTTATTTTCCCTTGTACATTGAACTATTTGCTTCCAAAGATGTCCTACAGTCTCATGCTAAAATAAACTGATGATTAAAATAGTTTTTTTTAGAATCCATTCCAAACAGAAATGGAATCATGGGAGCAAATAAGAACATGTCAATAAGTATTCTAAGTATGTGCTTGTTTGTCATTGGAGAACAACTGATCTATTTAGCCTCAATAACGCCTAAGTTCGTTTTTTTAATCAAGGAAAAAATAAGAAACTGAAGGAAAAAAAGAAGGACACCTTTTACATAAATACATATTCCCGAATATAGACTTTAAGCGGTGGGATTTCAACCACATTTGCCTCTCAACAATATCTCGAGGTTCTCATCAATAGATGGAAGTTCATCCTTTGGGCCAAAGACTCAACATTTTTTATTTTCAGTGTTCCAGTCCTGCCTAATTATATATTTCTATTTTATAGAGAGTGTCACATTTTACCCTAAAACCTTAAGATACAGACAGTTCATATAGCATTCTTTTCCAAGACAAATATTTTGTCATAGACTGTTCTAGCGTCTAAATCTAAATATTCTGTTTTTTATTTATCTTTATAATATATATATATATATATATATTTATATAGTTCTGCATAATTATGACGACTCTTTGTAAAATAATAAGATCTCCTTAAAATGCAATAATTTTGCAGATGGTTAAAACCTTTTTTGTAAACAAAAAACAACCAAAAAAAGAAAAATGAATTCTATTAAATATATTTATTGGACAACTTCAATATAAAAAAAGTTTTGTTGAGGTAACAAAATATGAAAAGAAAAAAAAAAAGTTAATTTAACAAATCAATGTTTTTTTTCAATATAATAAAAAAATGCACTTGGCTGTATAGATTTTTTTCCTTAAAGTGCTTCTGCTTAAAACTGTGTCATAAGTTTTCAATAAGAACTACTTACAAAAGTAATGTTAATTCATATGCATTTTAAAGCAGTTACCATCTGCCTAAAGCTTATACCAATAAAATATCTCTTTGGCTTAAGTATTTATTTATTTAGCAGTTAAATATCTCTATAAAAACACATAAAAATATAAATATTGACATCATTGCACCATTTTTGTTAAATATAAGCATATTTGTCAACACACCTCAAGTTTGTCCTTATTTAAAAGAAGGTTCTCCAGGTAGTTCTGTACTTTTGCCAACGTCACATAGTGCTGACTGTCAGGGAACAAATACACAGGGGGCTCCCTACTTGTTTTTTCCTGGATGGGACAGTCAATTATTAAGGCGAGAGAGCGCACTCTTTTGTCCAGACCGGAAACATCAGCTTGAATCTGCTTCAGGAGATCTGTGAACGGGCTCTGCAGTTCATTATCTAAATACTCAAGGTAGAGGCTGATGCCAGTCAGTCCATTGATGGCTGGAGTGGATACTTCTATCCGTGAGGTTACCTGCCATGGTGGGAAATAGGAACATATAAGAAAAAAGTTGTTGCAATGCTTTCTGGTTCTCTTTTCTAAGGGTTTGCAAATCTTGCTCATAGAAACTCAATAGAAGCATTTGATGCATTAAGTACTGTGCATACCTCATTCTCCAGTTTCTTAATGTGAACTAGAGTTATCTGAATAATGTTTTGAATGATGTGTATGTTATTTCTGATGGAGTTGCTCTGAATTGGAAGAGCTGTGCACTCAGGAGCTGCGATTAGAGAGAGCACCAAAAGGGCCAGAGCGATGCACATCTTGAAAAATGAAATGGAAAAAGTCATACTTAGACATCATAAAACAAGAACTCAATAAACTGCCACAAAAATGATATGTTTAGATTATTTTAGCACTTCAATATAACAGATGAATATATGTTTGATGCTCTATAAAAGTCAAGTAAGTTTTTTTTTCCTTCCTAAAAATATGTGATGTTTTTCCTTACCTTTGTATTTTGACTTCTGTTTGTCCTTAAGTGGCAATGAATGAAAGTCATAGCTCTTCCCTTGTAACAGATGTCATTTAAATAGTCGTCCCCCAGCATAAGTCCTGTCTGGTCTTGCCTGGGTCTTTTCCCGTCCTCTCTCTTCCCCTTTGGCTCAAACCTGAGTTTGACCCTGCTAGGTAAGTTAGTAAATCCATACTCGAAACCATGAGAACAGGGGCTGACTCAATCTTTTTGGGCCCACGCACATCCTGTTTAATTCCTATTAGGATGTCATTTACTGGAAAACATACAGGTAAATGTGATGGATAAGTTGTACACCTCTACATGATAAAAAGGGTATTTTAATGGTTTTAAATCAGAGTAATAAAGAAATGCTTTAAAAAAAAAACTTTTTCCCACAGTATTACTAGCGGTCCTAGAAATCTGTAAGAAGAAAAAAAGTCCACTGTCATCATATTGAAAATGCAATAATGCTTGATTTAGTTTGGTGTTCTGTCAAGGCTCAGAACACAGGACCCAGATTTCAGGCAAGATAGACAGTGGAATAACTTAAAAGTGTTTATTTAAACAAGCTGATCTGCAGAAGCAGGAGCTAGGGCATCTATCACAGGAATGTCTATATGGGAGAAACACAGGTTAGTGATCACTAAAACGGATGGAGGATGATTAGGAACTCGTGAGTCACTAACTTGTTTAGACAGTTCAGTCCATGCACAGAGAAAGAGGATGATCCCAGCCGGTAGGCTGACTAGACGCTGCGGATGCTGTCAAGAGAGTTCAAGATGCGGAAGGCTGCAGAGCTGACAGGAGGTCAGATCCGATGGACGAAGGAAGGCAGGATAATCCACAGGTTGAAGTAAAGAGGCATTTCCAGTCCACAGAAGAATCCACCAGGCGTCCGATGACAGGTCAGGCAAGCAGATCAGACTGGGGCAGGCAGGCTCAAAAATTAGAATACAGAAACAGGTCATGATGAGGCAAGCAGAACACTATAGTAATGCCACAAAAACCTTCTACACCAAAGACTCAAGAGTAATCTGGTACACGGTTGGGACCAAAGAGTTAGAAGCAGGAGCAGGTGGATCAGATGAGGAGTGATGAGAAACGGGGCAGAGCTAGACAGGTGAATGAAATGAGTAATCAAGCCAGCCATCAGCGCCAAAATCATGACAGTTCTTGGGTTTGCTAAGGTAAAATTCTGCCATTATATTGGTTCTTGACATTAAGTAATTTTTTATTAGGCTGAGAGCAGCATAGAAAGACCTGCGGCAATGTAAAGTCTGTCTGCTACATGTGGCAGTCTGACAAAGAATCAGTGGCATCATGTGAAAAGAGATGAGGACAAGACATGTCTATCTATGGTAGACATGTGGAGCTTTTTTAAAACTCGACTGGACCAATATCACCAAGTCAGAATTTGGGTGCTGTTAGAGTCCTATCAAAGCCCGGAAAAAAAAAAAAAAACACATCTCAACATAGTACTAGTTTGAGGTGCACCCTTTTATTGTTTTCTCTTATCTTTTAAAATACGCTGTATATATGTTCAATGAACAACACAGCAGCATTGGATAAATATATTTTAGATTTGTTTAAATTGAATAATTTTTTCATTATTGTTTTTAATGCTTTGGTTTAATCTTGATTTAAGTCATTATATATGGAAAAAGTACTGTGGTATCTGTTGGCATATATAATCACCTTTTTTAGCGTTCTTCCCTGTTTAGAAATTTGTTTAAAGACTATTTCAGTTGTACTATTATGAGAAAGTTGTATAAATAAAACCTAAATCCTAAAAAAAATTAAAATGTTTTCTCCTTTTTTGAATTCATCATGTAACTCTTGAAACCATTGATTTTTGAGTGAATTTCCCCTGTGTCTATTATGAAACTGATCAACGTTAACACAAAATTTTAAGTCAACTCTTAAATCCAACTGTTCTTTTTTTCAGATGTGCACATATAAACTCACCTGAATGGTTTGAAAAGGAGATGTAGTAAGCAGAAGCTTATTAAATTTCAATCTTTGCTCTAAGATTCAGCTTACATTTTGTTGAGATTAGAAGTGTTAGAGTGAAAACAAAACCAAAACGGGACAGATGCCGACAGTTATTCTTGTCTGACTTCTTAAGAAATGTGAGTGTTTGGCAACATTTGCAGATTTTTCCAACAACATTAACTGCCTTTATGATAAGATATCTACAGTAGGACTTGAGATATTAACTTAAAATATAAAAAGATTGTTTTGCAAAAGCTTTAGTAACTTTCAATGTTGGCAATGTTATAAACTGTGGACTTTGAAGATTTGATCTCATCCACATGGTCCCAATCATAACCAATTTAATTATTTTCCTTTTGAGTTGATTTGATCATTTAAAATAAACATCATTAGAGTGCTCTATATGAAAAACAAAAAACCACAACATTTCCTTATTTTCATATCTGTTTTCATAAAACGAAATCCCAACCTCTCTTACGCAATAACTAAACCTGATGTTTTGTAAGAGTTGGATGCACAAGAAAATGCTTTGTCTCAGTGTGGGAAAAAATTGTATCTGGGAAGATATATTAATTGGAAGGCATCCTTTGATCAATTCCAGTAAGTCAACATAGCAGACAACCGTTGCTAGGAAACCACTGTTGTATTATTTTAATGAACTTCTGCTATGTCACAAGATGTATTTCCATCCACTGCTGAATAATTTTTACAGCAGAATATTGTGTTGGTGATGGGAGAGTCTGACCAGTCAAGCCTGTACATCCCAACGGTTCTTAATGGGTCAAGGGTCTAATTTCTTTGTTGGCCCGTCCATGGGAGGGGAGGGGTGGTCGCTCGGAGAGCATTCGCTCTCTCACATTGAATCCTGTCATTGTAATCTTGGAATATGCCTGTGTAGTTGGAGAGGAAAAGGTAACTGATGGAATAAACTGTTCAATCAATTCAATTATTCAGATAGCTGACTTAATTTCTTGGGTGCAAAATGTTGTTGAAACTCGACCTGACCAGCTGTAGCGAGTTCAGTTCATAGCTGAAGGCGTGAAAAGGTAATCAGTTCACCTGCCTTTATTTTACCCTGAGGTGGCCATCCCTCTGAAACAGGATAAACCTAAACTTCATCCATTCTTCCAGACTCAAGAATTTATGATTTCTAGAAAACTGTTGCCTTTTGTCCCACCTAACCTTACTGATGTTTTTCTTATGGCTATAAAGCTGTGTATTGCCAGTCATTTCAGTTCTCTGTGCATTTTGTGTGTGAAAATGCAGTTATTTTTACTATTAAAATATATGAAAATATATGAGTTTGAATGTGTTTTTATTATGTGATTTGATTTGGAATGTTGAACTGTTTTACAATCAAGAGCATTCAGTATGTTTTTTCAAACAAGTGCGTTTTTTTTTTTTTTAAGACGATGTTTTGGACAATACTTAAGTTAACTGCAGTAGTTTCTGCAATGTCTCTACATAATGGGTTGTCATAGCTACAGTACCTCAAACTAATGCAAAAAAAGAATGAAAACCTTTTTTTTAACTGCAAGTAATAGAGATATGTACCCATTGTTTTTGTTTAACTTTTTTTTTTATAAGCCTTCAAACTGATCTAAACATATTTTTTCCCAACACAAATTATTTAAAGTAACTTCCAAATTAACCAGTTGCTTTTAACAAATGGTGTCTTGAGTCTAGTTTTATTATTTATATGCACAATGTAATAAATACCATACTTTGACCATTTTGAATCCTTAAGCTAGTATTAATTAATTAAAGCTAATCTAAAATTAAGGATTATTTCAATAACAGCAGCTAATTTAAAAACTAGTATAAAAAAATAAAAACAAAATTCAGTGAATTAGATAAAAATAAATGTTACAGGCAAATAAGATAAAATTTTTCCAAAAGTATAATAACCTTGCTCAGATATTCTTTGCATGATACATGCTAATGATCTGACCATTTTTGAATAAACTTGCATCTTTTCTAAAACCACAGGTTTCTTTTCACATGTTTGTTGAAGATGGAGCGGTTGGATTTAGGGGGAAATCCAGAGGGGGGCAAAGCAGGGCAGCTGCCCCTCCTGCTGTAGAGCTTTGGCCCCCCAACTGCCCCTCTACTTTAATATAATAAAAACTTATATACTTAGAAAGGCCAATTGCATTTTCCCCAAAACCCCTAACAGCCTTTATTTACTTTACAATGGTGGTTAGGTTTTTAGGGCTGTCTGTCTGTCTGTCTGTGTACAGGATGACTTGAAAAGTTAAGAACGGATTTTAATGATTTATTTTAGCAAAGGTCCACCTCCGTCTAAGGAACAATCCATTATATTTTAGTGATGATCCACCGCAGAACCAGAATACAGGAACTTCTTAAAGGTTTCTTTAACATTATTTGGTGGAACAAGCAATTTCCATCTTCATCTGGTTTGGATTTCATATCAACAGCCCCATTAGAAATACCTTTGGGCTACAGTAATATATTTCATACTTATTTTCCTGCTGTATAGTTACCAGTGATGTCCCACTAACCTGATTGCTGTTTCTGGAGCAGTTGTGTGAATCAACTAGATAAGAAAGACCAGATAAATTGTCAATAATGTTGCTGGTCTTTAGCTGTATTTATCCTCACACTGGGTATGCCCTCACAACTTTGGCATCAGATTAAGATTTAATCCCTAAACTTCAATTCTGAAGATGCAAGATGGAACATTTTTGAATTTTGAGTTGCAATATTTGACACTTTGACAAAAACTCACCAGTAAATTACCTTTTACTGTAAGTCTATATATTTAGACAAAGACTCCAACTATTAACATTATAATGAAGATACCTGCAAAAAGAAAAAAAGCAAATACAAAATTATCCTTTTTATTCATTTTCTTAAGGGAAAATAACGACATAGTATGAAGGCAAAATAAAAAAAATGTTTATATAGCTAAAGAATACAGCATTCAAGGACTCTGGTCAAAGTGATGGCTTAAAGATAAACTAAATCAATTTCAAAGGTGACCAAATTAAATCTATTACATCAGTTATACAAAGAGTATTAGGACAGTTATGATAACCTTTTTATTTTTCAGGGGCAGACATCAAAACACTGATTATGATTTAAACCTTAACCACAGGACAAGATTTAAAAGCAACATCGTTTTGGAGCCCTACCTGCAAAAGATGTTAGCTTGATATTACCCATCAGT